AACGACCTTTTGGGACACCCTGTATAATACCTGACAGACTTCTATTTTATTTTATAACCGTCGTTGAACAGCCAATCCAATATTTTGGGTTTACGACTAATAAGGTTCAACTCCGTAGCCTTGAAATTTTGAATCAAATCCAGAAGACAAGGGAACTCCTGGATTAAGTATTGGGAGAAATTTGCCTTCGTGGATAACTTTTTGAAGGAACTAACCCGCATTTGCGTTACGTGGAGAGGAATACCTTCCATGGTTAACGAGATGGCAAGGGGACTCTAACCCATGATCCGCCTCCCACTGAGAATATTTTACGTCAGCACTGTTGTCTGTGCAAGTCAGATGCGGAATTCGTATCGACCAGCCATTGCTGGGATTCGAACCCGGTTCACCTCATTGGAAGGAGAGCGCTCTATCGCTTGAGCCATCAAGGCTCCTGCCCAAGTTTTATTTTATTTTACAACCGTCGTTGAACAGCCGATCCAATTTCTTAGTTTACGACTACGAATGTTCAACTCCGTAGCCTTGTAATTTTGAACCCAATCCAGAAGACAAGAGAACTCCTGTATTGCGAGAAATTTGGAGGATTCTTAAAATGAATTCGGTTTGCTAATCAAACACACGGAGAATATGAATTAGAACAAAACCTAAGCGGATAGAAATAGTATCAAATTATTAAATACAATTGACAGATTTATGTCTTATGAGAACGTCTTTATTATACAGTACATTCTCGAAAACCTTGTTATGTCTTCCCCCTTCACATTATATATCCACCTAATGTCGAACAGTTTCTTCCCCAAACCTTGTTTCCAAATAGAGATTGAATTTTTTCCGAAAAATCAAAAAAATACATTTCTTTTCTATTTAATGCATAATTATTTTTGACTTACTTTTAAATCATCGTTGTATTTAGATTTTTAGTAAACAATAATTTCATACATTGTAGTTAGTCTTATGTTTCATGACTTTACTTCTTAGAGTAATATTTTTCCATTTTATAGAACATATTTAGTTCTGAATTTGTTATCTCGAAAATTCTATATATATATTCTAATCTTGGATTTCGAATGTATAAATAAGGCGGAAAAATATCGCCAATCTGGCGAGATTTTTCCACCTAGATAAAAATTATCAAAATCAATGAATAATTTTTCTTTTTTTATGAGCTTTGTTTATGTAGTGCTGAAGACCCTATTAAACATTAAAAAAAGAAAAATAGATCACAAACGCTTTTCATTTTTATAAAACTGTGGATTTTCTTCATACCAGCGTTTTACTCCATTATCAGAATTAAGATAGAGGCCGCTGGCTATAGATAAGCTAAACTTGACCGAACTTTTATGAATAACTGGTGCAAACTCACAGCAGTTATGAAAATAGCATACTTTTTCCAAAACAGAGCTTTCAAAGAACAGCCAAATATGGGAGATTCGGTGGAAACAATGGGATCCATGGAGATTATTTTAATCATTAATAACAGTGTGGCGTTAATGAGTGTTTGAAATAAAAAGGTTAACGATTATAAACACTTCATCCATAAGTATTTTTTAAGGAATATATTTCACGATTTTTGGTGCTTTTATACCTTAAAAAAAACATTGATTTCTTGACTTATTTTTCGTTTCAACTTTTTGATTTGGTTGGATATTTCTTGTCTTCTTTTTTCTTTGCTCTTTATTAATTTTTTTGTCATTATTTACTCAAAAACAACGATAAATATTTCTTCTTAACCAAAATTTGTTATACGAAATTTGTTTCATGGTTACTCTTTCCTCACCCAGTATAAATATAATCAAATTTATTTTTACTGACTATTTTATAAAATTTTTTAAATTCTTTTAACAAGTCTAACTACTATATTTACAAAAATATTCTCCAAATAAAAGATCAATTCCGGAGAGAGTCAATCAGAGAGATGATCTTTGGAAAAGATTCGTCAAGTAAACCAGGATTGAGGTGGCTGATATTCATACAAGTCATTAGAATAATGCATATTGCCAGTATAATGTTGAAAAGTGGTTGAATGCATGCCATCAGCCAAATGATAATTACCAGAAACGGTTGCAGGTTGAACATAGCAATAAGATTGTTCTTGTAAGCATATCTGGTTTTCCATTAGCAATTGCTGGAGTTGCCTTATATACATAATAGCAGCTCTTAGAGTTTCTACTTTGCTGGAACGACGACCTCTGTTACATCTTTCGCGAGGAACTCTGTCTCTCAAAATAGCAAACCCTTGATTGACGAGTCGAACACGCTTACGTTCACGTTCATTTCTTTTAGCAATAGATACCACTTCTTTAGATTGACTTTCTTTTGGAATTTCTTCAGGTTGTTCTATCGGGAAATAAGTTGTTGAATCAATGTTCCACACGTTGTTTCCTCTTGACATTCTTTCAAATCTTTAAATCTTTGCCATCTGAAATAAATAATAATTTATTTAATACAAGTGATATTTTTTGTCAATTTTGATGAACAGTATTCGGAAATAAATTACAATTTTTTAATTCGAATGTTTTTTGGTCAATATTGATTAATAGTAACTGGCTCCCTGAAATGAATTATAATTTTTAAAAAAAATATAAATGACATTTTCATCAATTTTGATGAATAGTAACTTGATCTCAGAAGAAAATTAATACGAATAAATACTTTAGTGTGAATTTTATGAATAGTGAAAAGAAAAAAAGAAATGAAATGAACCTTTTACTAATGTGAACGCATTCTGCCTCATAACTAAATATTGAATCTATCAGACTGATAGCTAAAAAATTAAGATATTTAAATGTTTTTCCATAATAGGTGCTTTCATTTGTGAACTTTATTAATACCTAGTAAGTAAGAAAATATCTTTGTCAGTTCTATCTTGTTGGATGCCGTATGATTATCGAATTTAACTTAATGACAAGAATTAAATTTTCGATATTATTTTGCTATCTTCATTTCTGAAATTTTACTTGTAAGTCTTGAAAGTACATTTCCTTTTAAAAATTTTGCGTAGAATATGTGTGAGAAATTATGAGCAGATGCAAAAATATCTTTGCTATTTTATTGAGAATTTGATTGTCTATAATAGCATGAAAACAATGTATCATAGGTGCAGTTTCAGAGATGGGACAGCAGTTCTCAAAAAGTGTTCTGCGGAAGGCTCCGAGAGAAAACTTCAACTGCAATTATAAAGCAACCAGTAATCTATAACTTTTTTAATGTTTTTTTTTATGACTTATTTTAAGTGAAATGCTAACTAAAAAAGAAATAGCTATCACAAATAAAAAAGTATTTGACAATAGAATAAGTAAAAATTCAATTCAAATAAATATTTGAGTAAGTTAAATGTTTGAAATAAAACAAAGGTAATTGAAATACATTAAAGATTATCCTAATTCACTGTAGATTTAAGTGATCAAAATAAAATTTTCTTAATACAAGTGAAAAATGGCTTCGAATGAACACGTAAGATTTTTTAAAAAAAGGAATGGCTTTTAAATATTTTTATGCAGCATTGGCTGTAACTGATGATTTATCAATCCTTAATGATTTTATTTTTTGAATTATTACTTTATGTGTGCACTATGTTTCACACATTTCCCCATTAATGCGTGTTTTTTTACTTTTCTTTGTTATCAAGAATTCTAAAAAAAAAAGGCACCGAGCTTGTTATTATGGAACAACTTACAATTAAATTGTGTAACTAATTAATATTACAAAATGATTGGGGAACAGAATGCTGTTCCTCGTCCTATTTCGTTCACAGAAAGTGATTGCATTAAATCACAATAATTTACCAATTTTAATGTAAGTAATCAATAAATAAATTTTAATAATAAACAAGCTAAAAAACCTATCTATAGAAATTCCATATTTAATTTACTTTATGCTTTATGAAATGGTGTTGGCAAAAATGTTTACAAATGTTATGAAATTACTCTAGAATATGGATTTTTCATTATTATAAATTTTTAATCATCATTACTCTGAGAAGAATAGCTGTCTGAAGAAATTCAGTATTTAATTTACTTCACGTTTTGTAAAAAATCAATAAATTTTGCAAATAATCAATATTTTTTTAATAGTCACACTAAAAATCTGCAAAAAAAGTTACTTATTTTATCTATTTCATATTTTATAAAATGGTGTGTGTAGGAATGCTGAAAAATATTTTGAAATTTTTACAGTATAGGACGAAATGACGCCACTGAGAGAAGGGCATCATCAATATCAAACCCACTGAAAAAAAAAGAAAAAAGATTCCGCCAATTAAGATGGATTAGCGTAGATGCCCAAATCCCTGATTGTGGGGGGGNGTCAAATCTAGCTATGAGCACTAGAAACTTTCCCTACATAATCGTTGCAATGAAATTGTGAATTTTAAATGTTGCCAACTAAATTATCGAACTGAGGAGTAAAGCAAAACTTTTTTCAGCTAATGTAGCACCCAAGGAGGAAAACTAATTAAATTCTTTCGGATTCAGGTCTGGAAATCCTTGATATGATTGTGCCAGTAGAAGAATTTTCTATTATATTTAGTTTAAAGGAATAAAAAGAATAAACTACGACATTTAGAAAGGATTATTAGTTTTTTTTTTCTTTTAAAATTTGATAAATTTTTTCTTTCTTTGACTTGTTAATACATAAAATCCATGTTGACTAAAAAGTTCAATTACCTTGAGCCGCTAACCAGTTTTTTTTATGCATAATAGTATTATAGTAGATTTATCTTCTAAAAAATGAAATGAAAATATACAACCTGCTAGAATTTGCTGAGCGTACCAAAAGAATTATCAATACAAGGTGAGGTAACTAAAGAAAAGTCAGGTCGAAACAGATTTTTATTGATTTTGGTAAAGATCTTGATTTTGAGTTGGCGTTTCTACATTCGGAGTAAAGTGATCGAGAATAGCAATCAGTCGAACAGGCGCTAAGGAGTCACTCCGGGGGGGAGGCATCGTCGTTGAGGTATCACGTTGATAGCCGGACCCTTCAAAGTCATAGTTTCTTCATTATGATCCAAGACAAATAAATAATACGTTGGGAAGCTTTTTATTCTCGATACAGCTCAAAATGCGTATTTATTTACAAAAATGGCACAAAATGCGTGTTTACCAAAATGGACACAGCTAACGACACGTGTTTACGAAAATTAACACTTCTTGAAATGCGTGTTTAAGAAAATGGATGTAACGTTTGATTACGTTTTTTCAAACTTTTATTATGAGATCAAATAAATTCTTCATGTCATGTAGATTTTTAAATAAATTCTTATTTTGATATCATCTATATGCATAAATCGCGCGTTACATTTTTCAAAATTAATCTTATTTTGAAAAGATCTTAAAATGTTTTACAATGTTGCTGAATGTTATGGTAGTAAATTTATGTTGCTGGAATTTCACTTTATTATTCAGAGTTTTGAATGACATCGCTTGAAAAGTTGCTACTGAAATAGTCATCCCAAGTCTGTAATGATTATTCTTAGTGTTTAAATAAGTAAGGAAAAGTACTCGTTGTAAAGTTCCATTTTCACGAACACACATTTTGATCTGAAACCTTTTCTTAAATAATCTGTGTCCACTTTTGTAGACTCGAGCTGACCAGAGTGAATAATCAGATTTTTTCTTGAAAACCGATTTCTTCCAATCTATTCATTTTTAAGTTAGACATACCTTAATGGTCAGTGTGAATTACTTGTATATTTTTTAAATGTCTCCGTCAAAAGGTTGCAAGTTTAACAAAAACGGTTAATTCAACGTTTCTTTTAAATTTTTCTTTTTATATTTCACGAATATAAATAGTATAAAAAAATACACAATCTACATTTCATTAATCTAATCTTTCATTACTATAAAGATAAAGCAGTTTTAAAGTAGTACATACTTATGTAAAGAAACAAAATAAACTATATAAGATTTTCGTAAGACTAATGACATTATATGGAAACGAGTGATGGACAATGAATAAATCAGTATGATAAATTAGAAGAAGAATCTTATTTGTGAACTAGAAAGGAATTTTTGGAGCAGTTAGGGTGAATATGGAGTATGGAACACTGGAAAAAACTTTGAATTGTGCACCATATTTAACATAGTTAAAAGCAATTAAAATACAGCCTATGAGATGTGGTTTTGTGATATCTATAGGTAAAACGATAATAACTCAGACAAAAATGTGATGGGAAAAGGAAACGCTTATTAGGTGGTGTGGTTAAGTGACTGAGCTGTGTATGTGAGTAAATCGATGGAATCAGATCGATGAAATAAACTTATTGAGACAGCCAATCTGAAAAAGTCGCACGCATTAGACACCGCTTGGTGCGATCGAGAATGAACGACTTGAAAATCGAAAAAAAACAGAATTTGGTACATAATAACATCACACCATATCTTACAGCAAAGAACAAAGTACCTATTTCGTTGGTAGAGGAGGAAATTGGTCCATTACATTGGCTATTTTATTATTTTTTGCATTTTTCCCTCTCCAAAGACACCGCTTGGTGCGATCGAGAATGAACGCCCTGAAAATCGCAAAAAACAGAATTTGGTACATAATAACATCGCACCATATTTTACAGCAAAGAACAAAGTACCTATTTCGTTGGTAGAGGAGGAAATTGGTCCATTACATTGGCTATTTTATTATTTTTTGCATTTTTTCCCTCTCCAAAGACACCGTTTGGTGCGATCGAGAATGAACGCCTTGAAAATTGCAAAAAACAGAATTTGGTACATAACAACATCGCGCCATATCTTACAGCAAAGAACAAAGTACCTATTTCGTTGGTAGAGGAGGAAATTGGTCCATTACATTGGCTATTTTATTATTTTTTGCATTTTTTCCCTCTCCAAAGACACCGCTTGGTGCGATTGAGAATGAACGCCTTGAAAATCGCAAAAAACAGAATTTGGTACATAATAACATCACACCATATCTTACAGCAAAGAACAAAGTACCTATTTCGTTAGTAGAGGAGGAAATTGGTCCATTACATTGGCTATTTTATTATTTTTTGCATTTCTTCCCTCTCCAAAGACACCGCTTGGTGCGATCGAGAATGAACGCCTTGAAAATCGCAAAAAACAGAATTTGGTACATAATAACACCACACCATATCTTACAGCAAAGAACAAAGTACCTATTTCGTTGGTAGAGGAGGATATTGGTTCATTACATTGGCTATTTTATTATTTTTTGCATTTTTTCCCTCTCCAAAAAGTGGTTAAGAAAATTTTGAAAAAATTGACCAAACTTATTTTTATCAGTTTTATAAGAGTAATACTAGAGATTTTTTTTATTTCCAATGCCCACCTGTATTTACATTTTGTCAGTTCAGAGATTTTCAGGGCAGATTTGTTAGACACTCTTTCAAGGGCACCATATTAGGTAGGCCAACGCTGCTTCCACAGTAAGGACAGAGAATGAAAGAACATTCATGTCTTACCCGGGATTCAAACATTTCTGATGCAAAGCCCTGACCCCTGCGCAGTCCGGTTGGCATACTAGAGAACTAGTAGCTGGATTTTTCTAGAATCGGTTTTAACTTCCTAAGATCTCATTGAATGGTTTATTTTGAACCAATTGTTTATTATGAAAGGGTTTATTTTTCTTTATTATCTGCTTACAACTACTTAATACACTGTAAAAAACACGGAAAATGTTTAACCGATACTTGGTGCAAAGTTTCTAATTACACTAGTTTGGTTAAATGAAAAATTGTTTTATTTCAGTTGCACCATAAATTGGTAAATATGATCGATAAATAATTTTATGGCGCAATTGATTGCACCAAAATTTCCTACTATGAGGGACACAAGCTTTAACAGTGACCGATAATTTATTTTTCAACTGTTGACTACTGGATGATTTTGTTGTTGAAACTTAGTATAATCTCGTGCGCTCCTGTCTTTGAAATTGACTATTTCTTTTGAAGGTAAGTAAATTTTGCTTATTTACTTGCATTAATTACTGATAATCTTTAAAAACTTTGTTAGATAGTTCTTCTAGAAAACTCCTTGTATGAAATATTTTCAGTAAATAACATCCATCTTATGCGCACAGAAAGTTCAATACAAGTGATAAAAATAAGGCAATCTTTCAGCCTGTGAAATTATACTCTGTTTTACCTCAAGTTGGCCCTTGAGAGAAAGGCTGGTAGATCGGATTGTCATTTAAACTGGGTTTTTCTTTAAATTGGTTGGGGTGCTCGAAACTAATTTTAAAAGAAACAAAATATTGTGTTTAAAAAGTTAATTTTTCAGAATTAAATAGAAATAAAAAAAATACTTAGATACTCATAAATACTTTGCTTTAGATACTTATTTTTCACTGAAATTTTTTTTTTGTAAATTTATGTATATTAATTTAGCCCACATTGGAGATTTGTGGGGGAAGGAAAAGCTAACATAAGCATAAATCGAACGTTTTCATTGATCATGAAAAAGATCATATGTATTTTTTATAATATTTTTTATTTATTTATTATTTTTAGGAAAATTTTTTCTGAAAAGTTATGTTTTTATTGTAAAAGGAATCTGTTATTCTGAAATATATCTGCTTCTATAAAACAAAAGAACTTTACTAAAGAGACAATCCTCACAAACAGTATACATGTGGAGTTTTAGTACCATCAACATGAATACTTGTGTGTTTATCAGCTGCCATAACCCGAACACATGGACTCAACATGAACTCCTTGATGTATCCAAGTGGTTATCATGTTGTTTATTTAGTATTTTACTGTTGACAGTTCCTCTGCAAACTGTGGGGTCTCCCTGCATAGAATTCAATTCATAATTTCTCATGAGGAGAAATTCTACTTGGGTGCTTAGACACATTTTATCAACAAAAAAATGAAAAAAATAAAAATATAAGTAAGTAAATAAATAAATAAGTAAATGAATAAATTAAAATAATTATATTTCAAAGTATATGAACCTTCCTTTCCAGGATCTTTGTGGGTGTAAAAAGATAAAAATACCTCCCCCCACCACGTCTTATTAATAGTTGGTCTCGAAATATATTTTCAGATGGTGAAATGTTTTCAAAATTTTCTATAAGAGCCACAATTTCTCAATTTTTTTGAAATTGTATTTAAAAAGTAGTAATTAAAATATGACTTGCTTTGATTAATCTAATTTTTCTATGTTAGGAAAGAGTAAGGGTTCAAATTTTGCGTCGTCTGTTAAACTATTTCAAATCCTATACATCTTAGTAGCATAAATTACATAATTTATGATCTTCTTTCATTAGTACAAATACACCAAAAACTTCAATGATTAGGTAAGAAAGAGTCTTAGGAAAAAATATTGTTATAACCTGTGCAAAGCCTATTGAAATATTTTTTCTGTCTAAATTATCAGCGTTCTAGATGACAGTTTTTCCAAACTTTAAAATAAATTTAAGAACAGCTTACAAACAAAGAATGTGTGTAGTTTTAAGTTTTGAGAATATAGAATCGGTGTTTGGAAAAATATTAATTTTTTTGCAGAAATGTTCCGAAGTTTTATTTGTGTGTAATCTTTTTAACTCTTGTGTTTTTCACATAAAAGGTTATCAACTGAAAAAAATGTGATGTAGTTAAAATAATAGCACCAGAAAATCTTTAAGATTATTATGTATATATTTTACTTCATATATGATCTGCAAATAAAATTTTTCCAAATGAGTAAAAATTCGTCTAGTCCAGGAATCAAATTTGGGATTTTAGTTTTACTTCAGAGACCAAGCTTTTACCACTTAATTCACCTTGCAAACATGAATTTACTCGGAATACCTTATAAGCATTAGTAACCTGATCTATGAAAATGATATAAATTACAAAGATATGTAATAAGAAATATTGGTTTTTCTCAAATACTATTAATTTGTACAGTACTTTTTCCCCAACTGAGTGGATTTTTAATTATTTTATCAATTAGTAAATTATGTTTGTGAAAAAGTAATTTAGCTATATTGTAAATTTTAATTCAGATGAGTATATCCAGAAATTTAGTATCTTATTAAAATATTGAAAATTTTCAGATGATCCCAAATTTCGAAACTGTAGGGGAGAGTGGGGTCAATTGTAACAGGGTACGATTGTAACAGAGCAAAAATTTCGAGTGTCGGGTTCTAGATTTGATTCCTAGGTGGCGCACAAGGTGTATTTAATAGATCTACATGTACACCCCTGCTTTCAACCATTTTTATGTACTTTTGAAAGAGTTACATCACAAAAGATATTTTCACGCTACGTAAGTGATTTTTTTTGGTATTAGAATATTATATTGTAACAAAGTAATTTTGTTTAAACAAATAAAAATTATTAACCGAATATGTAAGTGGGCACCTTAATTAACATTTCAAAAAAAAA